TTCCACACTAGCTGCCGTACCTGCACCCAACTATGGGGGATACCCATTTAAATCCTCTGGCTCCATTTCTGTAATATAGCGATTCAAGATTTATTTAATAACTCAAAAAAGTTTGGATATAAAATTGAATATGACTATAAAGCACATTTGCTTCTTAGAGGTGTTGCAAAGCAATAATAATACGAGTTTTAACAAGTAGTTATTAGAAGCACAAAGCTATAAATTGCCTTGTAAATTCTCTGTTGCTTATCATGAGGTAATGATATTGCCTTCGAATACTATTAATCAGTAAAATATGATGCAATTTCAATTGCTTGCTTTAGTATTTGCTTATATACAGACTAAGTTTTGAAAATATCACCAACACACAGATTTGTCTAGTACGCGAAGCACAGAAGAAATATAATATCATGCCTTTGCAATTGCATTCTGTGTCTAGTAAGTAAATGTATACATTATTTCATGATACAAAATTAAAAACAAATATATATATATATTTTTATTATAAGTCTTTTTTTTTGTTCTCATTTTTATCTATACACACCATGTAGAAGCATATGCTGAAGCACTATCCATGATCATTGCTACCACATTAAAGTTCTGGCTACTAGCACATGCCAAAAAAGTATTAATTATGTTCATTATATCAGGAGTCCTTTGCTTTGATTGCTAATATTCTCAGCACCTATATATGAAGCTGGTTTGTTGCAGAAAAAATAACAGCATCTAAAATTTTCTGGCAACGCACATTTTCCAAACATCAAACATAATTGTAATCAGCTCCTGTGATTCAGCAAGTTTAAAAATTTTACTTTGTTCTAATTTTTCTGCATATTTAATTAGAACTTTACTGTTTAACAATTTGCAACTTAGAATTTTAATAGTCAGATTAAAAAAATTAATGAAATTATGGAGCATGCTACATTCAACAAATTGAAGAGAGAGCCCATTATGAACCACTAATCATAGGAGAAGATGATTAAATTCATTGTATTGGTTAGTTGATAATGGCTAAACAACATATGTATTGAGTGTAGTGTTTTTTTTTTTTTTTTAAATTTTTTTTTTTAATTTATTTGTGATGGGCTTTTAATTTGTCATA